CATTTTATACTTTAAATATATAAACATTTGTTTACAACGATAATGTACATATATCGATATCGAATTAATGATAAAAACATACAAACTTATAGTAGATTCATTCATTAAAATTATAGTATCGAGAAATGTACAGATAATAAACTTTGATTATACCGATTCTTCAGTATGTATACAATGCATTTGTTAGTTCAGTTATTATCACCACTTACCATGTATATATATATATATATATATATATATATATATATATATATATATATATATATATATATATATCAGTCTATTTGTCTCTTGTAACTGGACATATATTGTCCTAGCTATCTCCTTGTGATTCACCAACCAACATATGAAAGATAATGAAGTCAATTTAACTCTGTATTATAGTCCATGTAATATATAAATAATTGTTTAAACAGATAAGTAGGTCTAAATGGACATATATATAAGGTCTACAATACTATTTTCTATCTATCAGTGTATTTTCGTGATAAGGATATTATTATTATCCCTAGGAATATTATATCACAGTCAAAAAAAGTACTATAACGTACATATTTTAAATATGTACTCCTTCAAAAGTACAATTTCTGGGTCGAAGATGATTTTCGTCGTGAACAAATATCATCAGAAAACCTAATTATAGATAATAAATATTACATGACTTTCATTATAATTTGGAATTTCTGAACACTATACACTTATTATCTCTTCAGAGGTTGAACCTAATGAAATAATGTTATACTCAAATCATTTATATTTCTATGCGCGATTATAAGTTGATTTTATTTACAAATTTCTATTCTGACTATATCCAATGTAGTGTAACCTAGCATACTGAATAAAAAACAAAATAATAAAAGTTACTGTTTAAGATGAAATCTTCGACGAAAATCACATCTTGTTATACAACACAATCATAATAATAACTATTTTATTGTATTTACAATAATCAAATTGTACATAATCTACAAGTCACTTTAGTAATACTAAAATAAATTCATATCACACTAAAATTTTTACCTTTTATAATGACTGAACTAGGATATTCTACACTTAGGTCTTATTTTCTCATACACATATACGATGATATAAAGTGCCTACCCCTACTACGACTCAGTCACTACACATTCAACTGTAACTCTAAACAAAAAAACTTCTCCGTTAAGGAGGACACATATATTATTATTATATTATTATATTATTATTATTTCAGATATCCTATTTGATAAGTATGTTCATATATTTTCAGTGTTTTTTTTTCAAAAACAAACAATTTATAGGTTATTTTACGATCTACAAAAAAAACTTAACATAGACACAAATGAAATTGAAAAGCTTATTGAATCTACAAAGAACTTAGTCTTTGAAATAGTTCAAAAAAAAACAAAAAACAACACGAAAACAACACCATTTATTAACAAAAAAATAATTTGAGATATATATTAGTGTTAAAATAACAAGACTCAATTCAAATAAGATGAGAAGTACATGTATACATATTAGTTTATCTATTTTCTATGTTACTACTTTTAAGCATTTTGTTTGTTTGTTTTATTTTAGATAAATTATTAGATAAATATCATTTTGAAATTCACATTGATGAATTTCAATTTAATAACTTTAAAAAGGCTAAAATCCTTTATTATAACAATAATAATAAAAGAAAAACAAAATAAAAACTGATTAGTCACTAACTTAAAACACACATGAAAAATTTGAATTAAATAATCAACCTTAATGTAACTAATTATGTTTTCTAAACGATAAAAGTAAAGTAAGTAGTACGTAAGTAAACGATAAAAGATGAATTTGAGTTCATTATTTATGATAATAATTCATTAAGGGATAGAAAGTGATATAACCGAGAAGTATAATATATTTCGTTTAATGTTTGTACGATAGATATATCTCATGTAATATAAGATGTTTAGGTGAAGATTAAACATTAAAATGATAAATTAATTATTATGAACGGATAACAGGTAACAAATGAACAGCTAATAGAACATATTTTGATGTTTTAGTTAACTAATCAGTGAATCAATTCAAGATGAATTAACAGATTCATAATAAAAAAAATGATGACTGGTGATGTTCCACTACATTAGGTTTGAGGTATCGAATAATTATCCACCTGTGCTATAACAGATTAAAAATATATAAACTATTAAATTTTAACTCCGTAGTCTAGTGATTTGATGTTCATCATAAAACCTACAGTTTATGAATCTAATCCAATGTAAAATCACAAGTTCCTACCATTGAGGAGTAGAAAACTATAACAAAGAAGTTATTCAGTTCCATTTGTTTATCAATGATTACCCAGTTGATGATATAACTGTCACCATTATATTCATAAATGTTTTTATTTACCCAAAATATAGCTACAGTACAAAGGGTTGTATACTTTGTACTTTAGGTCTCCATAACGTCATCTGTGTAAATAGTTTACTGACTTGTGTGTTTATTTTCTCAAAAGAAAACAGTCATCGCCATTTTCATACCAATCATATATAAACTTCTTTTACATTTTTATACAATCTTTCATATTATAAAAGATACAGATAGTATTAGTAATCAATTCTTATATTCCACTATATGTAAATGTTTATACATGTCTTTTAAATTTAACCTTTAACCTTCTTTAATGTCTATCAAAAAGAAACATAATAAAGTAAACCAACCCAGCAATTGAATCGTTGCATATACAAGTTAATATTGGACTATAAACTATGACTTATGCATAGGTCTAGTGTAAACTATCTATATGTAAATTGGCTCATTCGTTTCGTTTTTTTTCTTTAATTTTTATATAAAAGTTTATAAATTTTAATTCACTCAGTTGTTTATCATTGTTGCTTTGTTTACCTATTTTGTTTGTTATTATTATTATCATTATTTTATTCATTGCTTATTTTCATTAAATAAAAAAAACACAACAAAATAATATCCGGTATGAAGAATAATGTTTTTCACAAACACAAAGAAATGATTAATTCTTTACTGAATTATATTGACTTCTCTCTCTCTCTCTCTTTATCTTGTTTAGGTTTTATTCTCTTCTCTTCTCTATTCGTTTACACAGCATATATATATTATATGCTTGTTAGATGTTGTTTTGTAGTAATTTATAAAAGGAGTAAAAACTCAATGAATAAATTGTATCACGCCATTGAAATATAAACATTTTTTATTCTTGTTTTATGGTTTATTATCATCTTCTTTAGTAAAACAAAACATTTTCTTTTCTCTCATCATTACTAATTTATTCACAATCAAGTTACCTGTAAATAAATGTATATTAGTAAATAGTTATATTGTCTTTTGATAAATGACTATTATCTTGATGATAATTTATTGTGATATCCATGAGTAATCGTCTTATTTGTTAAGAGTAAATGTTAGAATATTCTCACACTGATCAACCATTTAATAATAAATCAATCTCATCTTACTTGATTGTTTATTGTCGTTGAACTCTATTGATAAAGGTAACAATAAGAAATAATAAATAGATCCTTATCAGATTACCATTAAAGCTGTCCAATACCTCCAGGTTTTCAGTGGTGGTTTATATTAGATCAGTGAATGATTTCAATGAATAGAAAAGTATTTTGAACTCGGATTCTTCGATAATATTGAAGAGTACAATGTATCTACGATTTTAAAGATACAGATACAAATTATTACTTATTAAATGTATCTATGTAAGGGTTTATTCACGCCATAAACTATGCAGCCAAATCATTAACGAGTGTAAACGAAAATTCACTCACCAAAACCAATACACAGAAGGAAAAATCTTTCGACATTTGTGTGTACACTATATTGAAAGAGATTACTGTTATTTTATGCCCATTTTATTGTTATTAACATTGTGTGCATAATCATTCCATGGTAAATGATTGATTTGGCACTTATACAATATTTTCGATCCTTTTCTTTAAACCTAATCAGTCAATAAAAGTATTATAACAACTAATATGATATCTTATCTTTTTCAATCACTACAAATATTTCTACCAAGAATTTAAACAATGTGCAAAGACCTCGTTTGAAAATATAAAAGAAATATGTGACATTTTAAATGTATTGAACAAATAAAATTTCTTTTTTAAAGTTGATGTAACTGCTATTGATAAATGATACTTTACCTAGCGAACTATCAGGCTAGATGAAAGTAATATTATTGAACTGATTTGCATTAAGAACAGGTAATAATTGGGCATTCATTGAAAATTGGTAAACAATGGACTTGGGATACACCCTAGTATGCTACTCTTTAAACGATATTCACCTTTGTAACTTCAACCACATGGAGAACACCCGATAACATCAGTAATGAGTGTTTTACTTAAAAAATAGATGAATTCCACTATTCATTGCTCCCTTGTTTCTACCACGAAATGTACTTCCAAACTAAATAAACATCACAGTATCCTTATCTTTATAATATTATTAAGATGAATCGATTAGAATGAACAATTGATGGAATACAAATAAATACAACAGAAAAATAGTTCCAAAGACAACTATTTACTTAAAAGTTAATTATATATGTCCTTAAACGATTTGGTCTGTCTACATGGAAACAGAATGATTAAAATAGTGATATTAAGTGACCGTCAGGAAAACGTAACTCTCTAAAGAATCTAAAAAGGAAGTTAGTCTCAAGTTATAAAATTTTCCACATACATTACAACGATGATTACCCTTTGAAATTTTCACTTAAAATCTATTAAAATAGATGAGATACTTGCTTTCTCCGCTTCATGATAAATTACTACTTATGAAAAGAGATCGTTACCAATCGTAATAGAGATCAGTAAAGAGGAAACCTTCTACCTGTCTTACAATAATTATTACCTTCATAGTTATTTTTTTATATGAATCGCGTAGATTTTTGATAATAACAATACATTTATGGTATCGATGTCTTACCATTGAATATTCTAGAATTTATGTTAATTAATTCATTCATTTATGTTTTCACATAATAGACTATTCAGCATACGACCAAGAATCGGATATATCAGACAATAATAACAAATCTAATCAAATGTTGCCAATTTATTGTTCCATCATGGGTTTAATAATTATTTCATTATTATGTTATGTTGTATACAAATTATGGCGACAAAGAGAAGCGTCAAAAAATGCCAAATTAACTGATTCGTACAATAGTAACAAAACTGATTTATTAGATAGAACATCTTGTTTGGATAATAATCATTTACAACATCGAAGAATCTCATCAGGTTTCATAAATAATAATAATAATGCTCATTTACCAAATCATTCACCTCAGTCTACAACTGAACTTAATAACACTATTAATTCAACACCCGATAACGATATTAATAATCATCTTCAATTTAATGATATTATTGTTGGTCATGAAAAAGCACCATTACTTGGGAAATTAGATCATTCAAACAGCTCATTTAGTAAGTTATTATTCCTCAGTAGTTTTTTTTAATTTTTATCCTATTTATCTATATTTTCTGAAATCAACAATAAACTATATTATTTTGGGGAGATTTCTGAAGAATATGGAATTTTCATGGTTTCAATAATGAAATGATCTTAACTAAACCACCACTGAAAATTTGGGAGCAATAGTCGGTCTTTTCGTTCCAGTATAGGACTCCTCAGCTCAACTCGGGATTGAAAATGTCCAAATTCTAAAATCTTCAAAAATCCCCCTAAACTACAAATAATCACTTGTGAGCAAGTTATTAGCTTGAAGATGAAACTCCTGGAATTATTCTGAAAAGCTATGACTAGTGGGGTCCAAGCATGTTTGGTGTGTAACTGCTATCCACAGAAGGCAATAGATGAACGTCGCACAAAATTGCGAATCGATTGAAGTTAGGTATTAACAACGTTGAATACCGGCACACGGGTCTAGGTGTCAAGCGTTCATGAGTGAGACTGGAGGTTCTAGGTTCAAAATTCGGTGGCGAGTTCGTGGATGTGCATTGCTGAGGGGTTCTATGCTAGGACGAAACAGTCATCCAATCATTACGAGTTTTCAGCAGTGTTTTAGCTAAGGTTAATTTGTTATTTAAGCTGTGAACATTCAAAAATTTCCACAAGTCCCTCTCTTTATAACAAAATACAAGATTATCCTAATACCCTTTTTGTATGAACGCTAGTGTGTTTTAATGCATAATAACTATAACCTTTTGTATTACCATACTAAAAATTAGAAAAGTCTTTTATTGGTAGCAGTTGTATGCAAGGGAATAAAAAAAATAAATCTATCTCCTTAGACTTTTCCATTGTGCAAAGTGATGCCTTAGTGGTCGATATATTTGTCCTTCAACCAGTAAGTCACTTTGTTCAACCACACTTTAACTAAATTCAGTCTAGACACCCGACTAGTATCATTATCCTTGACATAGAATTCGGCTAAACTTATGAAAGTCAAGAAACTTACAATATTATTATCTTTTAATTTAAATTAAAATACCACCAACTTCGTTGAATATCATTTTTATTCGTTTGTTTATTTTCGAATTTCTTCAACCAAACGGAAAACTCTCTTATCGTTTTAAATATAGTCTAGATGTGTTAATCACTTCTACCATTAGTTTGGCATACAAAAAACACACTATATTTGAAGTGAGGAGGGTACATTTTACAATCTTGTTACACCGTACTCAACTTTTTTGGACAGTTTCAGTTCCCATCGAAAAAAGTAATGTAATGTAATGTCATAAATTAAGCTTCATTCAATTTAACGATCCTTAATTATTAATTGGATATCTTATAAAACTTGAATGAAACTTGTGATATAGGCTTGTTTTTTGAAACACTCTGTAGTAGGCTGATCAAATCCCAACATTTTCAAATGAAATTCTCACATACATGAAACACTAGGATTATTTATTTGTGTAACTAGTATCTAGTTGAATAAGATCAAGAAATTTCTGTCTATTTCTATTTCCCTCTTGATCACTCTCATGCTAAATGATTATTTATTATTTACATTTATTTATATGCATATTTTAGGTAATTTTGAACAAAAACCAATATCAGTAATTCCAGTGAATATACTAGGAGTTATTTGTTATCGTTTATCTCAACACGGATGGCAGGAACTGGCTAATATAATGGGTAAGTAGTTTTAGATTTAACTATGATTTTTTCAAAATAATAGTTTTATGTATACAGATATGTTTCTTATTGAAAAAAGGACCAAATCATGTATAAACGTGAATATGAATGAAAAGTATACTTCGAATATTCCTCATGATATGTATTTTAAAAAAATTGTAAAATACATCCTACCGACCAGCAGAAACAAGTAGATAGATTTTATAATAGCACAATGATATAAAAAGAATGAATGGATATAAAGTAAAGATTTGTTGGAAACCAAAAGTATACAACATAGTTCAAGAGAAAAGGGTGAAGTAATGAATAAAATTAGCAAAAAATCAAAAATATAAAACAATTCAAAATGAATATATTTAAAGCTATACAAGGTCAGTTGGCCAGTTACATTTAACGCAGAACCTGGTACATGTGTACATCGGTTCTAGCTCACACAACCCATTAGCACTATAAGATCAAATTGTCAGTGCAAATCACACAATAGTAAGAGAATTCATGGCAGTACAAACGATTCGACATACGAGATACCATTCAACAACAAAAATACAAATTAGTATAATAAAAACATTTGTACACTTCGGATCTAAGAGAATAAAATGAGTGGATGAACCTGAACCACTCCAAACGACTTTGAGCCATTTCACTCAGAGTCTCTAATCACTAGTTATGATGGTCACATCGACCACAATCACGTAGTCCATTTGCACAAACACACACACATGTTAGCGGGACATAGACTAGATTAAAGTATGCTCAATGCATGATTGCTTTGGTGCACGCTGATTGGCTGATTCTTATCCAATCAGCACTAGTCGATAGTCGGAGAATATTCTGGAATCTTCTTATGTAAAAACTATAAATATACCGACGTTTTCCCCTATTGTGCTTCCTACTGGCTTCTGATTTGCTATTTGGAATATAATCTTTTTCCTGTTCAACCGTGTTCTGATTTGGGGACTTGTCGAGTGAATCGGTGTCCGAGAATACTAAGCAATAGGAACAGCTGGGTCATTAACCGTAAGAAGAAACAGAGTTATAACAACACAGCTCACTACAATAGTCAGTATGCTTACAGACTGATGTCGTGAGTTGATCTGTTTACCCTGGTTCACTTCCAACCAACCTACTCCTACAACACCCATCGTCACATGTCCACGTTGTCGGTAGATGGGAATCTGTTAAACATGTTCTAAGCATCTCAACCGATAGAGATTCACTACCTCATCAGCCGGTTTTCCATCCTTCCCTAGAATTCTGTGTCTAATTTCAGAATGATTAACCTGATGATCCTCAAATGCACGAGCAATAGATTGAGGCCACCTATGACTGAATGCTAGTAACCTGTGAATATCCTCTATTATCGAAGTTTATGTTTCACACCCATAAATCATCTTCATTATTGTTTGCATAGATTACAATATCAATTTAACTTGTAAAATAAATAATAACAGAAAGTTTTCGTCTGTCACATCCTCGATCATCACATCATAACATAATAGCATATTGCGGTCAGAATCCTTTTTTTTAACTGACAGACAATTATCTTAGCTATCCTACAAGTGTCGCAAATCGGTAAAAGCCTATAGAAATTCCCGAATTATTTAGGCCCCAGCCTACGGGGATTAATGTTTTTCACAAGATACGTGAAGTATATCTTGTTTATTTACAAACACAACAAACCTTTTGCAATTTGGTTTATTATTTTTATTGATATTATTCTTACCTGCATCCATTTTAGATTTAGAAGCAAGCAAATTTGATCAATTACCCTCAGAGGTAACATCAGACTTATTATCAGCTGCTATGGAAGCTCAAAATACTGTTGAATCCCATTTAAAACTATGTAATCCAGATAACTCTAATACAATACAATCAATCACTAATAACAATCCTAAAAATAACTTAACAATGACCGTTTCAATGTTTCAATATATGTGTCTACAAAATACAGTGAATTTAGGTCAACTAATGAATTCTTTACAAAAACTTAATCGTTCAGATCTTGTCGCATTAATTCAACAACACACTGGAATAATAAAATCGAAAAAATCTATCAATCATTCAAATGAAGAATATAAAGATAAAACAAAATCAATGAAATCCAAAGAAAATTTCCAAATAGAAAACTAATTACAATTCTTTATTCCTAATATAAATAGATTATCATTGAATAAAGAAAATATTTAATTAGTTTTACTAGAATAGTACTTTTAATCTAAGTCAAAATAATCATAGCCTTTCATTAATTTACTTTACCTTAAGTCAAACATTATAATTAATTTACAGGATGAAAGGATAAAATACATTGTTGAATTATAAGATCTTTTTTAATACTTTTTACAGTTTAATCATATTTCATTATTATGTAACAACAATAACAAACTATAACAAATAATCCATTTGCTATTTAATTTTAATATTATTTCAAACCAGTGAACTATTAAACATTTTTTTCTATTGACAATTGAATGCATTTCAAACAAAAAGAATATCACAATGAAACAATAGTATATAGAGAGTTAAGGCATGAAATTAAACAAAAAATTGTCAATATAAAATACCCATTCTTACTTTTCTTTTGTGTGTGTGTGTAATCGAATATATACTTGTTACATGTTATTGATATGTTTCATGGTTTTATCTCTGTATATTGTGTGCTAACTTGTTCATTTGTCAAATATCCAACATCTTTTTTAATTCAAACATTTAATAAAATCGTTTATCTGACCATGTGATTTTGTTGAATTTTTCTATGATAAAAACAAACAAACATACACTTGAGTGTTAACTTGAACAATGTTAAACAAGAATTGAATGGTTCGATTTGTGTAAAATATAATAAGCGTTTATCTTCTATACCGGAAATATATTTCAATGATAGAATATTCTTAACAATGGTTGAATAATGTATGGCATAAAAGAAAATATAAACAGAACTAGAAATTGTTTATTAATTAGCCGGTGATCAATCTACTAAAAAAAACACAACATATATATTGACAATTGTGTTTAATGATCTATTGCTTTTATTGTAAGTTTCCAATTTCTTTTTATCAATATTACAAAACTAACAATAACTATTGTTACTATTCCCTTTTATTATTCATATCGCCTATTTGATTATAAATTAATAGTTATTTAAAGAATCTTTATACAACTGTTTACCTATTCTCATGTTTGTTTTGTTTTTCTGAATAAAATAGGATAAAATAATATTCAATGTTAACTGAATACATTTATTGAGACATTTTGTACATAATGAATCGCCTTACATATTAAAATCCATTTTATATTGAGATATAAACAATAAGTGTTTTTTTTCTTTTTTTTTAACATACTCTATTCCCCATTTATTTTTCGTTTTGCTTCTTTTCGTGCATAAAATGCAAGAAAAAGTAATCATAATAAAATTTAATATGATAGCATATATTACTTATTAATTAGGTTGATTTCCTTATTGTTTCTTACTTATTTGAATTTTTCTGTACAAATTACAATTACTTTTACTGAACACACATACATGTATACTTCTGCCATTATGTTTTCTTTGCTTTGAATAAATTTATGATATTTCACTCTGATAGTGATTAGTGTTATGATTATACCAATAGATAGTTGAGGATTCTCAACAATTTACAGCAACACAAATGACAATCATGTTCACCAGAATAGTTCGACAGTAAGCTATTAATTAGATTATGATAAAGGAAAAGACTTACTTACGCCTGTTACTCGACGTGGAGAAGCATAGGCCGCTCACCAGCATTCTCCATCTATCCCTGTCATGGACAATTCTCTCCGGGTGTTTTCAGTTGCTACTGATACTTTTCATGTCTGCCTCCAATTCCCGACGCAATGCGTACTTCGATCTACCTCTTTTCCGTTACTCTTCAGGATTCCAGGTTAGCGCTTTCCTCGTGATGCAGCTTGGCGATTTCCACAATGTATGTCCAAAAAACTTCCTCTTCAAACGGAGGCTAAATTGTTCTCTCCCACAGTAATTTATTGCTGATGGTATCCGGACAACGGACACTGGGTATCCTATGTAGACAATCGTTTATAAATACTTGTACTGTTTCGATGATGGTTGTAGTGGTTGTCTACGTTTCCGCTACGCACAGTAGGACTGTCTTGACGTCCGTATTGAAGATTCGCACTTTTATGTTGACTTGCAAACAATGGTTTTGAGTTCCATATGTTCTTCAACTGTAGGAATGCTACTCTTACTTTGACAGTCCTTTTCTTTACGTCTGCATCCGATCCTCCTTGTTCACCGATGATGCTGACCAGGTCTGTGAAAGTTTCCACCTGTTCCAGTGTGACGGGTTGGTGTCCTCCGTGTTGCATTTGAGGATGTTGCTTTTCTTTTGTGTATGTTGAGGCTTGTTGATGCAGAGTCTGCTGCTACACTGTTTGTTTTGACCTGCATTTATTCATGTGTATGAGATAGAACTAGGTGGTCGGAGAAGTCTAAATCATCTAGTTGCATTCAAGCTGCCAAATGTAGTCCGTGCTTCCCCTCAGATGTCGAGGTCTTCGTAATCCAGTCAACTACTAGATCTTTCACATATTTCTGCTTGTCAGCTCTAATACTCCTCTTCACTTGCTTGTCTGCCTCTGTGTATTCGGTTTGTGTCTTTCTCTGCTCTTATTTGGCTGTTGAAAATTTCTGTCCTCTTGTTCTTCCTTTCTTGAATTCTGTCCAGAGTATCGATAGGAAACCATTCCTTATGATGGTGCTTCTTGCGGCCCGGCACCTCCTGAAACTTTGAAGTCAATGCTTTTTTAATCCCTTCCCAGTTGTTCTCCATGGTAGCTTCTTCTTTCAGTAGGTCCTGTAAATTTTGGAACCTGATGTCTAGAGTTATCCTGAATTCTTTGAGTTTGTCAGCATCTCGAAGGAAGGTTGTATTAAACTCTTGTAATGCTATTTCTTCAGTTTTTCAATGTTCTTTCAGCTCGTTTCATTTTGGCCATAACCGGGTGGTGCTGATCTGAAGCTATGACAGCTCCTCTCCTGGTTCTCACATCTCCTATTGACCTGAATATCTTAGTGGTACGAATGTGACCGATCTGGTTCTTTGTAGTGTGATCCGGTGAGACTCATGTAGCTTTTTGTATGCATTTTTGGGGTAATATAGTGCCTCCTACAACCGTTTTGTTGAATGCACATAAATTTGCAAATCTGTCACCATTCTCATCACTTTCTCCCTGTCAGTTCATAGCGTCCCGCGATGTCTGCATACTCAGTATTGTCTATTCCGACTTTGGCGTTTAGGTCTCCGGTCAGGTTCCTGAGCACTTCACTACGATCAATTGTAGCTTCTCGTAAAACTGGTATTTAACGTCTTCGTTGCTATTATCGGTGGGTGAATAACATTCATTGTGATCCCCTTTTTTGTCTTGAAGGATACTTTGATGATTCCGGATCTATGAGATTATCATCCTATAAGTGAGTTTTGTGCTTCTTTGGACAGCATCAGAGCAACTCCCTGAGTGTAGATCATTTTCTTCTTCGTGACCAGAGTATAAGTGAACCTCTCTCGAATCTAACCTTTTCTGTCCAGTTTGGGTCCAATGTGTCTCACTGATTCCGAGCACCACCACGTTGTATCTCCTCATTTCTGTAGCTATTTGACTGGTTCACTCGGTCTCTCACATTGTTCGGACATTTCATGTACCTACATTAATTGTTGATCTAGTTGTTAGAGGGAAAACCGGACTCATGGCTTCCGAACAATCTTGGTTTTTACCACGTGTTATAATTTTTCTGGACGAAGATTCAAGTCGGACGGAAGAGTTTGAATTGTCTATTTTGGTTAGTGTTTTTCAACAAGGTTATTTTCTACGAGATAGGGTTGCTGACCCCGTGCTCAACAATCCTTCTTTACTCGGGCTTGGGAGCGATAGTAACCATAGGAGAGCTACAGGGAGACTTTAAAGGAAAAAGGCGAATTAGAGAATATTGTAATATTTTCTTTACAACGAAGTAAAAGTCATCCAATCAATAAGTAGAATTAAATATTCTTTTTTCTTAATGATGTATACCAAATAACTGATGAGAATATTGAAATGTTTAGTGCTGACGATCCAAATGTAACTTCACAACTATTTTGAAATAGGAACTAATTCAAATGTAGTATTAATATGACTACCCTGATGATATGTGAAGGTTAGTCTAAGTAAGGATATACCTATACAATGATTGATAACGGAATATAATGACACAAGAATAAATCGTAGGGCAATGATAGCCAAAGCACATGATATGAATTTTATTACAGATTACACAAAGACTCACAAGTTTCAACAGTGAGACCAACAAACTTACATTCTTAAGAAAATAGATTTTTTAATTAGACGAGAATTTGTTTGATAACAGAATAAGATCAATAGATACTGAGTAAAGTTATAGTCTAACAAGATAAGTGCCTATCCATCAATACTATCAGAAAAATATTATAACGGAGGATGAAAATGATTTACGGGTCAGAATTATGAAGGATAATTGTCCGCTTGACAGATATATGAAGGATGAAAAAATGTAAAAGTCATAATCATAACTGAATAATAATCATTAAAAATTGTTAAGAGCTTAAAATAAGTGATTACGGTTTAAAATTATAAAACAATAATGAGAACAAAACAAAACATACTACAGAAGGGAATCAGGGTTATGGAAGGATGAATGATATGTGGTAACGAGTTGGACATACAGTTCTTGCACAGAATTCGCACCTGAATTGGTGGATCGCCAATAAATTTATATAATAAATGCCAAATATACTCAGATTATCTAAATTATATTTATTAATATATCTGCAAAAATACTTGTGTGCTTAGTGTAAAGTGAACCTCTGGTCATGTACAACTTACTTTTTCTGAAACTAAATGCAGCCTAGACAGCAAACGTATCAGTATAGTGTGAAGCCCATTAATTCTCTCTAGTGGTTTACGACCACAAAGCGGTTAACTAATAAAATGTCTAAAAGTTTCAGTTTAACTTGGATTTCACTAGATTCGCACGTTATCTATACCTGGATGGACACATTACCTAAATCAAAGGCTTATATAGTTCTTTTTTGTAAGAAGAGTTCATAATGCACCCATAAGATTAAATAATTATGAAAAAACTATGATGTAAATGTTAGTTAGAAATTTGGGAGTAGTTTAAATTTACACCAATATCACAAGTGATATTTAAGTGTTCTCTGAAAGTCATCCTTGGGACTAAATCTTTAAAACATCTATCCGTTTGATCACAACCGACTCAGAATCCTTGATTTGCACATTTCTATCGTTCGGAAACATATTCCCAGTGCTTATTTCTCACTATTATTTTTATAATTATTTCAGATGATTCACGACCGGTATCGTTAACTCATCCCATTATGATATACATATTTATGAGTCTCCATGTTGATTACGACTGACTGATTACCAGAAAAGGAACAGTTTCTGCCTACTTAGATGATTTGTAATATTAGTTTGAACACATTAACGACCACTTAAACCAGTTGCACATTGCATTTGAAGTAGTGATATACTCTGTAGATAATAGATACATTTACTGTCTGATTTATACATACCGTAATGTTTACAGTGTAGTGTTTACCTATAAACTCAAAAATCTATGTAAATTCACTTTTTTTTCTGTCTTGAAAGTTTTATTTGATATGAACGACTGGGAACTATGGGGAAGATTCGACTAATACAAGGAACTCCATGCATATGCACTTTAAGAACTTAACTAATAAAGGAGCCATGATGGAACAGGATAGACGAGACAACAAATATTAAATACATAATTTAAACAAATTTCTTTTACGTAACCTATATACGTAAAAGAATGCTATACCTAAAATAATCTTTTGCATACGAAGCAGAAAAATGAATATTGCACAACAGTAATTCGGTTCAGATTATCAAATCTACCAATAATACAGAGAAATCTAAGAGGAAACTGTTAACAGGAATCAGTCAATATGGAGCATATAGCTACAATGTGTTTAGGACGGCATACGGCAAAATGACAAGTGATGTATCCTTTTGACCCTTAGAATGTATATTATAATTCTTAGTGTCTACAACAACTGGTCCCAAACACATAGAGTCTTTTATTCAATGTCTACACGTCTTTGATGAATAGTGTTTACATTATGTCATTACAAAGTCTACCATAAAGTACACGTGATAACACTAGAAAAGTAGCGAATATAAGGATAATTTTAAAAACAGAACAACGAGAATCACTGCGCATGTTTATATGTAAAGGTCGAGAGAAGTTACATGACATACAACTGAAGTTACTTCCGCATGTACTATATATTATGCAAGACAGTTGGTGTTTGAGATAGGTAATAATAACCCGACTACTATTTCCTTAAATGCAATGTCAATAGGCTAAACCATTACTACCTGAAATAATCATGAATTCCATCATTTAATTATCCAGTTCTTTATACAGTAGTCACTTCATTTCCCGAACTCCAGATTTCCCGAATGAGCCATAGAAAAATGCCCAACTTCGGTTCATATTTCTGTAGCTATGAGGGGGGTAGACAACAGTGACTAAATGTACCACCCTCTCAGCTTCTGGTGCAAGACACTACTCAACTAACACCAATATTGTAGATAGAGCTGGAGTATTAACATTATCCCTTTAAGTCATGAGTTTTATAAACAACTCAAAGCGGAAAATGTCAAGTTCGAAAGAATATAGAAGTCTACCAACGAAGTAATCAGGAGTGGACTTGATAATGCAACAGACGGAAAATCCCCTTTAGCTGGTAGGTCCATCATAAATCCTCAGAATGAAGTTATTAGTAAGAGGAATAAAACATACAGCAAGAATGGGTAACCAGGAAATCATAACGAGTCATTTTAGTTATTTAATCTAAATGAATTGCAAAGTATAGACTTATGTACTCGACTTTAAGCCACACCATGAGTGCTAGTGCTAAAACCTGATTTTCCAAATCAAAATATGTGGGAAAACAACTTTGATCTTATGACGGTACTTCAACTACAAGGCCATTGCTCCGTTATCATAGGAGTATGAATAAATACCTCTGGTTTTTTAAGGGTATCTTGTTCTCTGAGCTGGATAGTTTAGTTGTGAAGCTCGAAATCCACAGCCTGAGCTACGAATATCTCCCACCATCTCAAATACCTCTTAACTACTGGTATGGGGAAGGAACCTTAAAAACTTTTCAGATGTATCAACTTCATATAAATGACCATCTTCAAATATAAACTACACTTCTACCATTACATTCCAGATCTTACACGTGAAATCAGTCAAATGAATAGACGAAAGATATGTGTATTAATGTGAAGAACCAATT